TTCTCTTGACTCAAGTGGTCTTACCTCCGTCCCGTCATCAGCTCCTGGGACCTTAGACTTCTCTTCAACAGGAGATTTAACCGCATATTTGCGGGATTTCTTCAGAAGGTTTTTGAGACCCTTTGGAGTCTTTATCTTTGCAGGTGGGACCTCAAGTCTTTCTTCTTCTGGAGGTTCATGTGGTGCAGAGGATTCTGCAGGTTTGTCCCTAGAACCTGATGATGGTTCCGATGGTCCGGAAGGCTCAGGAACATCACCAGATGGTTCTGGTGGATCAAGTTTCTTGGCAGATGATTCTGCCGGATCAGATGGAAGAGGCTTCTTTTTACCTGAAATCCTCTTCGGTGGTGGATCAGCTGCTCCCTCAGGTGCTTTGTCACAACCCTTAAGGTACGTGTGAGCCCTTTTCTGTCCGGCACAGGCTGGACAGCGACCTTCCGGTATCCTAGTATAAGGCTTATTGGCTCCTAGAGCAGTCTCCGTCGCACTGAACGACGTACCTGACTTAGGGAGGTACTTCCTGGTGGAAGTAAAGCCTAGAAGGTCCAATACCAAATGGTTATTGGTACTAATCGGAAGAGGGGTTTTATACAAACCGAAAGCTTCACACGTTGCTAGGTCAGCTGTTGGACTACACTCGAGGGTCATTCTTAAATTCCTCATCTGTTCGATGGAAAACAAAATGGGGACTCTTCCCTGATCCAAAACTTCTATGGTTGTATCTCTTCTTGGAGTTGTGTTAAACCATAGAGTTACACGCTCCTTGATAAGAGCTGTTTCACTATCTGCGAAAGAGAACTTCGTGTTCGAAGGTGAAAAAGTGAAATCAATCATGCCTGGGGCATGTTGCTTCACGGCCTTGATAAGCCTGTTCACCGCATAGCGGGAACCCATAGCCCTAGTACAACCTGAGTCAAGTATGACAAAGGTAGGGCTCTTATCAAGATTGATCCGCTCTGTGAGAGCAGATAGGACGGTGTGCTGCAACGGAAACACTGCTGTTGCAGTCTCCACACCTTGCCCCTCGGATGGTTCAGAGACCTGGGGCACGTAACTCACTGATGAGTTGTACACGGGTTCTTGGTGCGCGCTCGGATCTGTGCCTCTACCTGATGATCCTGCTTGATTTCTTCTCTTCTTTCTCCGTGTCTTTCTTCGTGAGGCTTGTGATGCATAGTATGTATAAGACGTTTGATCGTCATAAGCGGCATAATTCCAACTGGAGTCAGTATAATAACTGTCCTCATACCATGAATCCCAGCTCGGTGCGGTGGAACTTTCATAGGCCTGTGGAGATCCAGTTTGGTCTCCTTGTAAGGAGGCAGACTTAGCTGTATCCTTACCTTTGCCTTTTGCCTTTGTACCTTTGAAGGAGCTTCCTTTATCTCCTTTGTCCTTTCCTTTTCCTTTGCCTTTTCCACCTTTTCCTTTTTCCTTTCCTTTACCTTTACCGAAATAGCTGGAATCAGTTGGATCATGTTCTGCCTGGTTGGCTCTCCCTTTTCCGCGGTATGACCTAAAACGGCCACGTCCTTTTCGCTTGCCACCCTTTGCTCTTCCCGGTGATCCGGGACGCATTCTTGGTCTTCTTCCCTTTTTGAATCTCCTTGCAACGAAGGCTTCATGGTCGTCAACTGTCCAGAAGACAGCTTCTTCATCCTCGGCGGCAAGAAAGCCTTCCTCAAGGGTGTCTTCGTCTTGGAGCCAGAATCCATCGACTCCGTCGTATTCACCCTGATCGAGGATGAGGAAGTTTCGACCTCCGCGTTTGCGGCGTTGATCTCTCCTTCCATGGCGGTCCTTCTTGTGAGAAGAGTGCCGAATGTTGGGATCCTGCAGACCAGTTCTGGTCGTTGAGAACTGATCGAACATGGTCTGCCGTACCACAGGGTACGTATAGGTCTCAATTCGGTGACCTTGGTTGGTCAATGCTGTTACCAACCTCTCACGTTGCATCTCATTTAGGTCGGACTGCACTAGGAAGAGGAGAGCTAGGAGATTATCATTTAGAGGAAACGCTCTTCGATGATTATCAAGGCGTTCCTTGTTCCATGTTTCGAAGAAACGTGCGGCGTATGTGTCTCTCTCGGTTGCATCCTGTAGGCGCAAGAAGGTTTGATCTGCCTGCACAGCCTGCATGAAATCTGGATGGGCATCTTCCAGAGCTATCTCTGGTAAGAGATCCATCCATGAGTTTTTCACGCGCTGTAGCACGATCTCAAACTTAGCAATCCAAGTCACAAAGTCTTGGTTGCCCTTCCATGCCTTGAATAGGCCGAGGAAACGCCACAGGAAAACGTACTGTTCTCCTTTCACGAAAAATGGACGCATCTTCTTCTTGAAGTAATCTACTCCATCTGGGGCTGCAAGCCTTTCTCGGTTCAGTGATTCCTTTTGTACTGCGGCCAATCCGGAGAGCCTCGTCTTGAGAGACGGACCTCTTTTGGTGTCATCCAGCGTTGTTATGTCGCACCAGTCGTCAATCAACTGTTCATACTCAAACCACGAGGTGGTGCCATCATAGGCAGGCGCGATCTTGGGCGTTATGCCTAATGATGCAAGCATGCGGTCAGATGTTGCATATGACTGTGCGACATAAGTAGCTGGACCTTGGGAGGTCTCTTCGTTCTCATATCCCCCGGAGGATTGGGAACTGCCGTCGGCTTCGCTATGCGAGCTCGACATTGTGCTGCCTCTTATCCGCTTGGTTAAGCGTTCGGCGAGGCCGACCGCTGTAGCGGACTTTGTGAGGCGGGCGGCCCTTTCCGGGCTCCGCTACCAGAAAACTGTGCCGATACACCCCCAAGGGATACTCCTTGTGAGGAGGTGTATGACCAGTTATTCCCTAAGGATCAAAGGGCAGCGCCCTGCACACGGACAGTAGTTGTTTTGTCTTGCTACGCAAGGAGAGCTTGTCTTGTCTCAATATGGTAAAACCACTGTGAGCCAATGGGCAGCGGAATGTATATGTATGAGCATGCAGCCATTGCTGTAGGTACCTGTTAGAGCTACCCCTTTAGAGGTTTATGGTTTCACCCCCCCCTCCCTCCCCCCCTCTCCCCCTCACAGGCCGGAAGATGGCGCTCCCCTCCAATCGACACTCACCCGTTTCGAGATTGGGGTTGAGAGGCCCGCCTAGCATGCTGTACCCAGAGGCTCCGAGGTATCTCCACCAGACGTTCCGGGCTGTCTCTAGCACAACCCCAAGTTTTGCCATCTCTGGGGGGGCGGGTCGGGGATGTCAGGCAAAATGCGGCACGTACCGCCACGTCCCGAGGGGCCTCGCCTGGAGGGCCCGAGATTCCAAGAAGGTTAATTAAACACAGATCATCATGATGAAGCCGTGGTTGTACTCGCGAGCCTGTAGGTTATTCGGCTTTTCAAATGATCCAATCGTACACTTAATCATAGCTCGAGAATTCCCAGGCACCCAGTATTTCTTCTGCATCTTATGAGAAGGCTGAATGTCCGGTAGGAGCCTGCATATGTGATCGATAAGCGAGGAATCTCCATGGTTACAATTGTATACATCCTTTCCCACCATAAGCGTCTTTTGTGTCATCGCGCACGGAGCGATGTCATCAGCTGGCCGTCTCGGGGGCCAACATGCCTCGCAAGCCAACTCATCGAGGCGGGGAGTGCACCTAGCTGGTGACTGCAGCCTCTGCACGCATGCTATGGTGTACGTGTGTGCCGACGCTTGCAGGATGCAATACCCATCAAAAGGTAGCATGATGGCCGATCGAGCTTGTGTGCAGGAACTCATCACATGCATGCATGTACGTGAGATCTCGACACAGATGGTACTGCAAGATCCTGCCGTGTGCCGCATTCCTTGTAGGGTAGTGTGGAAGAGTGATAGTATTTGCCCAACATGCCGACGAATAAAGCTGGCGCAATGCATGTGGAGCTTACTGAGCTGGAGAGCAGGATGTGCAGCATCGTGTCTGCATGCATTGTGGTTTGCTACATGCATAATTATACACTAGCCGTGTGAAGCCTTCACGCTGCGAAGCTCCCGAGGCAAGCTGAAGATGCACTTGAAGACGGATGATTTCATCCGATGTGGGCGATCCGTAGCTCCTGAAAACACACTACTGTACATCAGCAACCCCGTGGGTATGGATGACTTGCAACGCTATTTGGACCTCGTGGAGGCTTTCTTCTTACTTTCGCCACAAGGCCTTTCGTTTGCATTGCATGGAGCAATGTACATATGTGAATCTTCTATAACTCTAGTGATTGACCTTCAAATTTTTAGTCGGATGTGGACACAGGAGAATTTTCTGGGCCTTCTCTGCAGCTGATCTTTGCCAAGCTAAACGAAGACGCCGAGAACGGCCTCGCAAAGACCAAAACTCGGTATGCATTAAAGCGATGGATGAATGATGAGCCTTGCCGTATTTTGGGTCACCGTGTGGGAGTTGTTGTGCATGGTATGTGCTAGCTGCATTTTCATGGGAGCTTAGGAAGTCTACAGCTTGACCAACTTGCTAAGCTTTGCTCGGCGGTATTGGAGGAAGGGTCTCTCCAGACCGACGAAGACTGAAGTTGCTTGGGGTTGCAGTTCATGCATGAGCACTTGCATGCATACCCGGTGATTGATCAGAGGTTGCCCGCCGACTGCAAGCGGTCATGGAGTGCAACGAGAAGAGAGCCCGACCCATGTGCAGAAAGGACAAAGGCAGTCCTACCACGCCGACCGAGCAAGCTGTTCAGGTGCACCCTGAGGCAAGCGCCGGCGAGGACATTGATGAGGCGGATGATTGTATCATCTTGGAGGACGAGGACGGGGTTGATGTGGACGCCCGCCTGGAGGAAGTCCCCATCAATGATAGAGACGGCGGGGCAGGCCATGTGTGGTGGCAAGTTAGAATATTCGGCAGTTTCTCGTTCGTGCATATATGTAACCTTTGGATGCTGTAACCTTTGGGTGCTGATTCTCAGGCCAGAAATCTGTTGGCGAGGGCGAGGGCATTCATGATGGGTCTCTCGACTCGATGTGCATTACTGATGATGAGGAGCCGACAGGGACCTCAAAGGAGGTTGCTTCGGCAGCTTGTGCCCAAGCTGCTGCAGATCCTGTGGAGATAATAGATAGTGACACCGAGCTAAACCCGCATGATGGCAGCCAGGTGCCTTTGAGCACAGTCCCCTTGGTCAGTGCCGAAACGCAGGAAGCAAGCTCCGACCTTCCAGTCGGTGACCAGACCTTTGCAAACCCTCAGTTCTTTCCGTTCATGTGCATTGATTCGGACGATGAAGATGTGCAAGCTGCTCCACTGACCAAGTGGCCGGGCGAAGCAGCTGTTGTTGCGCCCAACCTCCTATCATTCCGTAGGTCCGACACGAGTGCTTCTAACGTGCTGGTGCCAGAAGATCTGGATAAGGATGATTCTGCCAGCTATGTAGGTGGCAGCACAGACAGTCTAGAGAAGTCGATGGCTGCTGTGCGTTTGACGAGCCAGGAAGCAACCCGGCTGCGAGGATTGCATGTGTAGATCGCGAACTGTGTCGAAAGTTGTACAGATGTAGCCGTGCAAGTTGGTCATGCTGCAGGCGCTCGATGTGGCTCCGAATGATGTTGTGCCGGTGCCGAAGGTGAGTAAATATCCCGAGGTTTCCCCGCCCCAGCCGGAGTTCCTGGAAAGCATGGACAAGTGTGTAGCAGAGGCTGAACCACCTTTGTACAACTCGACTGGCCTGGCAGGCGGTAAGAACAAGCGCCGTCGTCGAGGCAAGCAACCAGAAGGACACGTTTCCAAGAAACGCAAGGCCGGCGGTCATGAGGAAGATGCTGGCAATGCCCACGATGATCATGATGATGATGACGACGGGGAGCCTATGCCTGAGGATGAAGAGATGGATGAGCCTACCCCCGAGCCGGTGAAGGCTTCTGCTAGGAAGCAGAAGCATGTGGCCGAGAACAAGAAAAAAGCAACCGTGGAGGAAAAGGTGCCTGACAACAAGAAAGCGCCCGTGGACCCCAAGAACCCAGAGGTGACCGATGCTGTTTGCAAGAAAGCTGCCAAGAAAGCCGTGGAGCCAACAGTGGACCCTCCCGTGGATGCAAAGGTTCGTGTGCCCAAGAAAGCGAAGGTCGTGGAGCCGAAGAAAGCGGAGCCCGTGGCTGTGGATGCAAAGGTGGCCGACAAAGACGAGGGTGCAGCCGCCCAGGTTGGGAAAGAGGATGGAGTATCGAGTGATGATCTTCCGAGCCGGGAGGAGCTGGAAAAGAAGGGTGCCTTCGTGCCGCCAGACCATATCCATGGCAACAACATATACAGCAATGCTTACCGCCAGAGCTTGAAGACGGACAATTGCAAAGAAAAAGCAAAAACTCAGGGGCGCCGTGCCACTGCGATTTTCAAGGCCTATGGACTTTGTTTGCCGGAGATGATCGGGTCGTTCCGCAGTGCCAGAAGGAAGCCCAATTCCATCAAGCAGGGCACTGCTGATGCTGAGGCCAAGCAGGACTGAGTTCCCTTATACTTTCGATGTGTCGTGACTGGTTCTATGCAAAGCATGCAGTCTGTGTGATAACACATGCCTGCTACCAGGTTGTACAGATTTTCAAAGCATGTGTGTGTGTATTCACATGCACGATGATGCAAGATTATGGCTCACGATTTGTGATGCGAGGAATCCTTTCGCCATGCCAGCCCCGGGCAACCACAAATGCGTGATTACTGCATGGTTGTGTGATGAAGCAACAATGTGCAAGTTGTATTTATAAGCACTTCATGGCTTGCATTCGTTGGCTACTTCGGCTTGCGGGTCCATTGGGCCGTGGAGGTGAGGCCTTTTTCTTCGGTGCATGCATGGTGCCAGCTATGTTGCTTGGGAGAGCATGCTACCTGGGCCGGTACTTTGTTTGCACATAGCACACACTCATGGCTTCGACATCACTTCATGTGCGATTTGCAACCATGGGGTTTGCATGCATGAAGGCAACGTGGGCATCCTCATGCTGAAGCTTCGGATGATGGTGGTGCTGATGCAGCAGTGCCACGCCCACTGCCAGCTGGGCACGACCGGGGCTTGCCGATTCGGTTTTACAGGATCGTGAAGCGATTAACGGAGGTTTCTCGGGTGCAATGCATGCATGGCCTCTACAGTAGAACTATAAACCTTCATGCATTTCTGATGTGCCAAACTAAGGCTTTTGTGCCTCCAGCGAATGCTCCTTTCCAGTGTGTGGATATGTTCGCCGGGAAGGCTACCATAGCAAAAGCTTTTCGTCGTGCAGGCTACAATGTGGTGGCCCTCGACATCGCTTTCCACGGGGCTCCGATCGATGATGCTCTGCTTGTCTATACGAAAGGATAGTATGTGCCATGCTTCTGCATGTACCTGCATGACTACGCTTGTTTTTCATGTGTCGGCATGCATGGCTCTCGCCCGAACCCTGCTTAAAAGAATTATCTACAGCCGAGGACATTAACACGCCAAGGGGGTTCGCACGTCACATCTGGAGCATTTGCAACCTGCAGCGGGGTGGCCTTGCCTTCGGTGGGGTCGTATGCTCGAGCTGGACACTCATAAACCGTTCCCCGGATGCACCTGTTGCTGCTGCATGTTCACGACTGCCCACACATACGCCGCAACTCGACAGGAGGAACATCCAGAAGGACGCCAGACAACCCGATGGGAGACTTGTTTCTAGCTCGCACTGCAGGGTGTGCATGTGTGTGTGTGTGGGGGCATTTGTGTGCACTTTCCATGCCTCGAGCTGCCCGCCTGCACCATCCCAGGTCGCGGCCATCCGTCGCCTTCGCGAGTTTGATGATTGCTAGGGAGCCCTAACTCGCAAATGGCCGGGAATCCCTCACGCACCTCAACCTACGAAACACAAGCCACACATGTTCTTGTCATGCAAGTTCACCATGCATGCAGACTATTATTATGAGTCCTGTAGTCCCCACCATATGCATCATCCTATGAGCTACCTTTTCAGCTACCAGCTATGTATGACTTGCTATAAGCCTTACACCTACCAGCTTGAGCCCTGTTCTCATCGAGCTGACAGGCCAGGGTTTAGCATGGTTTGGCTCCTAGGTTTAGAGGCTTCACGCAGGGTTTTAAAGGATCTGTTTAATAGTAGATTGTGGTGGTACTATAGTATGAACATCGAAAAGATTTAGGATCAATGCTAAGTTTAGTGGAGTTTCAATTATATATTTAGGCGATTGACCAAGCTTTCCCATGTGCTCCTTTGGTTTTCAATATAGTAGCTGTACACAAGTAATGCTAGAATCGCCAGGGAGAGAGACATGACAAAGGGAAAGAGAGGGAGAGAGAGAGAGAGAGAGAGAGAGAGAGAGAGAGAGAGAGAGAGAGAGAGAGAGAGAGAGAGAGAGAGAGAGAGAGAGAGAGAGAGAGAGAGAGAGAGAGAGAGAGAGAGAGAGAGAGAGAGAGAGAGAGAGAGAGAGAGAGAGGGACAGAGATAGAGAGAGACAGGGACAGAGATAGAGACATGCAGAGAGACAGCTATAGACACAGAGACAGAGAGCGAGAGAAAGAGAGAGGAGGAGCTAGAGAAGGAGAGCAGGGAGGGGAGAAGGGAGTTCCGCATCAATCGGAGTGTCGATACGATAGCAGTACCGTGGCTAAACAATCGAGGTGACGCTGTTGCTGCTGCTATGCGAATACTACGGATGCATCTGGTGCATTGAAAACCCTGCATCTTCAATGGCCCGCCGCTTAAGTATAGTTAGTGTGTAGGTCCATTTGCATCGGTGATTCTAGGCAAGCTATGTTGCAATGCAGTACCATATATCCTGAATAATCAGCTAGCTGCAGGTTGACCAGCACATCCGTCTACGAGACTTCCTGCAGCGCCGAGCCCACTACAAAGTGAGCACGTGGCTGGGATGCTTTGGGGGTACGACCCCAAAATGTATCAAGCTTTTCAGCAATGATGGTTTCATTCGTCGATTGCAGAGGACAGTCATGCTGAGTAAACTTTGTGCCAACGGTATATAGGCCATTAGCTGGCTGTTTGCATGGTGCTACAGGAGGCTTCGACGCAAGGAGTTTCTCGGGCCATGCAACACCTCTGTTCGATACACGGACAAGGACGGGAAGCGACGATACAGAGGGTCCAAGAACTTGAAGGCCTCGCAGGTGTACCCTTCTTCTTTTGGAAGGAATGCTTCTCGTCCAGCTAGCATGCATTGAAGTCTTCATTGTACTAGATGCAATGCTTCTCGGGTATCGCCCTACACATTCTTCAAGTCATGTGATATAATTAAATAGAGTGGTCTCATCTGAACCATCCATGCAGCCTCTAGACGTGATCTTAATGTGGACATCTCCCCGGACCCCTGGGACGATGCCCAGCCTCCGGTCTGCATTCCACATTCAAAGGGCACCTAGGCACTCTTCTGTTGGCGATCTTTATGAAGGGACGGCGATATACAGAATATGGGGCAGGGTTTGTCAGTTCGTGCACAAAGCCCATAAACCAACCTGTAACCCAGAAGCTCCTACAGAGGTCCTTGCCAACCATCGTATAGCTTCTATGTATATAGGTAAATATACTTTACGCACCTACACTTGGAGAGCCCTGGCATCCAACCCTTGAATTGCCTGGAAGTTGGGTTTCGAAAGGCTTCGCCACTTCAGTTTGCTATATGGTTCGTATAGTTCATGATATGCAGGTATACACGGGTACTGCATGTACCCGTGTATACCTACATATCATGAAAGTCTTACGGTACTTAGGGCTATCTACCTATCTATCTATCTATACTTATCTATCTATATGTGCTTGGGCATTTACTTGCATATCCACTCGCTAGGTGTGCATATGTGTTTGTGTTTATAAACGATCGAAGCTCTTTCGGTCCTGTAGCTCGCTGGTTGCAATCCCAAACGCATAGGTTTGCGTCTACACGTACCATGTAGTATTGTTCTCGTGACCCAGATCATGGAGATCTTCAATAAAGGGGTCCCATCTTGATGGAGCGATCTATAGGCCGACAGTTGAATAATCCTTCATGTTTTCTCGAAGAAACCAGCCCTCATCACAAGCCAAAGTGAGCAGCTCAGGTTGTCTGCAGTGGAAGATTATTTGCAGGAGTTGGGAGCTTGAGGAGTGTTTACTGGATGCTCCCGCAAGTTGCCAAATTAAAGCGAGGGTTTGCTCTATGTGCAGGCGAGCAGCTTGTGGCCAGCTTGGGACAAAGATGTCTTTTACCAAGCCACAGTAACGGTCTTATAGATAAATTATAGCTCTATGTAAAAAACCCCAAAACCCGCAAGTTCATCTGAGGCTGCACGGGATTCTTCTCGGAGGGCTTCATAGGCTGAGGGGTTAACACTTCCGCTTCCGAAGTCCCAGCTGCACGTGCAATATGGCTGCCTGAACTGCATGGCAGATCGAAGTGCTTTGCGAATCGAAAAACACGGAATTCCACTGGTGTGCAATGCTACTTGCAACATGTTGCAATGGCCAAATACCACTTTGCGCTTATAGGCGTCTTCTAAAATATTCTACCCAGCCCCAGAATGATTAACCTTATGTATATATGTGTATACATATATCTGTACACACACCTACTTTGCAGGTCGTATACATATCATAAATAAATAAATAAATATATATATATATATATATATAGACACACACATACATACATACATACATATATATATATATATATATATATGTGTGTACGTGAATCCTCTCTGCATTTAGCACACATTGTTGGTTCTGGTTGTATGTATCTATATGCTGAATCTTAAAGGTATATATGGTCTTGCATGTATATATATATATAGATATATTATACATGCATGCATGTGTATGTGCTTATATATACATATATAGAGACATACATTCAAAGGCCTACTATAGACACAATTTAAGTATATGTATCTCTCTCTTTGTCTACCTATCTATCTATCTATCTATATATATATGCATGTGTGTGTGCATGTACATATTCTATAGATATATATATATATATACAACCACACATACACCTACACAGACATACATGCACACACTTGGGCAGACATATATGGTGTTGCCCGCATATTATCATCATCATGATTCCGGTGACCACACGCAGCTAAAAACATCCATATCCCTAACTGCAGCCACAAGTGACGCCCTTCTGACGCCCGCGGTTCCTCGATAGCTAACTGACGCCAACTGACGCCAAGTGACGCCCTTCTGACGCACCCGGTTCCTCGATATCCCTAACTGATGCCAACTGACGCCAAGTGACGCCCTTCTGACGCACCCGGTTCCTCGATATCCCTAACTGATGCCAACTGACGCCAACTGACGCCCTTCTGACGCACCCGCGGTTCCTCGATATCCCTAACTGACGCCAACTGACGCCAACTGACGCCAACTGACGCCAAGTGACGCCCTTCTGACGCACGCGGTTCCTCGATATCCCTAAGGCACGGTTCATGCAATCTATACATGATGGCCGCCCAAAGTTATATATAACACCCTGATGCTAGCCATGATGCTTTCTTCCCCAACCCCAAGAAGCCCACGGATGTGCTCCCCGCCCCCCTTTTGCGGAGCTATATATATCTGGCTTTCGGGTAGCTAGGGGTGGGTGCCAAAAGCCAGCTAGAAGCTCCAGAATATAACCGTTTGCAAGCCGAGCAGCCGGGCTCGAGCTCGTCCCACTCCTCCTCCTGCGGGTTGCTGTTCAATCACAACCGCCTCGAACCTTATAACCGCGGCCACTCCCGGGCCTTCCTCCCGTCACACGCATGCGTGTACATACCTATATATTGCAAATATAAGCGGATCTATATTGCGACTTCGGCCTCATGGATCCTTAGGTGGCTCGTGCGGGCCCTCGCGGTTCGAATTATAATTGTTCCATAACCCTTCCCATGGCAAGGTCACCATACCTCGAAACTCCAGGCCTTCCGGGGTGGCTTGTCCCCCTTGCCATGGCTGATGCTCCATGATGCACCATGAGCACCTGAACACATCACAGACACAGAGTGCATGCACACATGCACAAGTGCATACACAAGTATACATAGTCACAGTTAAATGTACATGTACGTATTCGGATCACATATGTACATGCACATACACACATATATACACGCAGATACATATATGTATGTGCATACGTATACATACACACATACATATATATATATATATATATATATACATACATATGTATACATACATACATATAGATGCATGCACATACACACATGTACATACATGCATACATGCATTCGTACGCATAAACATACGTAGGTATGTGCATATGCATGCATATGTGTGTCCACACACACACACACACATATACATATGCACATATATACATCTTTACATATATGTATATACAGCATACAAACAGAAAGACATATGTATACATACATGTACATATACAGATACACACGTGTATACTACATATATACACATATATAATCTATGAACACATATATAGAGCATAGACATAACATATGGACACATGCGCCTTCGCTGTCTATGTAGCTCTATAATCCCGTGTAACCCATGTTATAGTTGTGAGTGCTTTTGGAAATCCAGGAGTGGGCGGCATTTATAACAGAATGATCCTGATTGTACCGGTTTCTTTTGTTGACACCTACAATCTACAAATGAGCCCCGAAAAGCTATCGTCAGAAATGCGTCGTTAATCGTGGCTCTGGGGCCTCATGGGCCCTGAAGCTGTGTTGTGGCCCACGCCCCCCACAGTTAGAAAGCGTCAAAAAGCGTCAGGTGGTTTCCTTGTATAAAACAAAGAGGGGCGTCGCAAAGCGTCAGAAACCTGATGTTTGGGCCCTCCTGTCCCCTCAGCTCTGCTGGGGGCCCAGGCACCCTGATGTTAGAAAGGCGTCAGAAGGCGTCAGGTGGTATTTGGCCACATATGCAGGGTTTCTGTGCCATGTGTTGGTCCTCTTGCAACAACATGGATCTTGTATCATGCCTGGTTTTTGCAGCAGCTCATCTTGAGTGTGTAGAGAGGTTCCGAAGCTTAGCAGCGAACATCGTGCGATGGGGGAAGTGAAGCCCGAGCTTGCTGGTCCGCAGGCGCAGCGCTGGGATATGTACCAACAAGCTAGCCTACCCCAGTCTGCGCTATAGGATGCTATACATTTATTCCTACCCAGAAATATTGCCTTTTATCCTATAGACCCCATATATAATTAGCCCGAACGCTGTTACTTAATGATGCTGGCCACCGCAAAAGTCAGAGGCTCGTTTACCTCGGAATCCTTCCGGTATCATTGGCTACAGTCTATAAGAATGCAGACTATATGAAATTGTCAAGTTACAAAACCCTGGAGGTATTTACCTCCATCAAACAGCACATGCCTAAAACCCCATGGCTAGAGGGGTAGGACTACACCTATGGTCTTCATTGTAATTGTGATTCGTTTTGGAGGTTGTTATTGTACATGGTTGTAGATAGATTATGAGACAAGCTATAGATTTGGGCCTAGAGGAGAGTCACCTATGACAGTGTAGCCAAAAGTGGCTCTAGAATATCTGCGAGTTCGGGGACTTACGGGTGGCTGGTAATCTTTATATATAGCCCGATAACCCTAATAAAGCCCGAGGAGCTGCTAAGCATGCAGCACATCCCCTCCAGGAGGCCATTGTCATCATTGATGACGATGCGGCGGATGTCCTGTCGCCGGAGCAGTTTGTGACCCCGCCCGTGAAGCGAGCTTATCATTCCCCGGGGTCCGAGGATTAGTAGGGAGGGCTAGGCCATGTATTTCCACGGTTTCTTTCGCCGAGCGGTCTGTATCTAGAATTGCATGAAAGCTGCTAGCAGGACCGGAGACCTCACCATATGGACTCGCAAACTACAGTGGAGTATGATGCTGACGATGTCAACCCGTGCAAGCTTTTCGAGGTGACATCAGCAGTCACCCCGCCTAAGGATCTGCATGTTGGGGCTAGCTTTTTGTCCGAAGGCAGCAAAGGATCCAGCAACGAGAGTCTCGAAGCAGCCCCGCGACCCAACAAGAAAGCTTGCCCTTCTGCGTGCAAGAGTGTGCCGTGCAAGGAAGAGCGACCGAAAGCTCCTGTGCTAGGGCTCCACCCCAAACAGGAGGATGCCGCCGTTCCTCCCAAGGCCGATCCTATGCATCGCAAACGGGCGCCCCCTCCCAGCAGCTCTCCAGCTGCAAGCAAAGCGTGCACAGCTCCACCCGCACCCGTGCCCAAGGCAGCCCCTGTCAAGGCGTGCAAGGTGGATGGTGAGAACAACCTGCAGACTCCAAGCCCGAAGGTGGCTCAGCCAGTGCTGGTTACCCCACCAGCGCCCGTGCCCACTCGTCGGCGGCTGTGCAAGGAGACCCCACCTACCGAAGTGGAGAAGAAGATTGAGCCACCTGCTGAGTCTGCCCCAGAGGCTGGTCTCGACGAGGTTCCTCATGAATGGGTGGAGATGGCGGAGATCAAGCAGAACTATCCGGAGAGCGGAATTGATGAATTCTGCAACCAGAAGCTGTTGTAAAACGCTTTACGGGTACGTTCCGGACCCTTTCACTTCACACAGATATTCGCACTTCACTTTTCCTCGGGCGCACGGCTGTCTTGGGTGCGTCCCTTGAGCCTAAACACCACAGTGGAACATTTGTTCCATACTATACAAAATCATGTGGCAAACAGCTCATCTACAGGATTATAGGGCAACACACTCCTAAGCGAAATGTTTGTTACCCCCTCTTCGTGCATCCTCTTTTGCCTTTTCTTTCCTAGAGGTGCAACGAACCCAAAACAGTCGCACTTTCCTCCTTTTGAAACACTCGTTGTGCACTCGCTTTTTGTCGTGGTGTGAGACGAGTGAAACAGAGCTACTCCTACTGGCCGCTCTCAAACTCGTTCACCTCTTTGGCCTTTCAGCCTCAAAAGAACTCGTGGTGGCCCAAAGCCACAAACTCTTCAAACTCTTTAAACTCTCCTCGTGAAGAAACTCTTCGGCTTCTCGTGGTGCAGTTGTCGTACAACTTTCAGAAAACTCTTTCCTCGTTTGGGAACGAAGTTCCCCCTCTGGGCTTTTCAGCCTTCAGATTCCCTTTTTCTTTATAGACCTCCGGTTTGGTCTCTCTTTCTTCTCTTTTTCCTTTTCTCCTTTAGCTGCTCTTTTGCTGGGCTTTCTTTCCTTTGCCCTTCTCCGCATTGTCTGTGCGGTACTTTTTCTTGTTTGTCTCCAACCTGTTCGCGTATGCTCTTCGAATTATCAACTCGTTCTTCTTGTACCAGGATTGGAACTGTTCCTTACTCATTTCTTCCCTTTGCATCTTTGGGGCATACTGCCCTGAGGCAGTATAATTGTAATCGGCATCCCAACACGTTTCGGAACCATGTCCGAAACGCGAACATACTGCGCAAACCATTGCCTGGCTTTGCGCATCAGGATCTTCGTTGATTCGGCTTTCCTCTTTAAGCACCTGGAGCTCATCTTCGAGGGCCTTGTTGTTCTTTCCAAGCTCCTTGATAGTCTCGCGCATTCTTGCGCTCCTCTTTCATCTTCTCTGCATCCTCATTCGATGGGCCTTGCGTCGACCCAGCACTGCTTTTGCGCTTTTTCAGCTTTCTCACTTCTTCATTCAATTCTCCAATCTCTTTGTCCTTTGCCTCTTTTAGCTCCTTGATCTCTTTATCCTTTTTGTCTATCTCCTCTTTGATCTCCTTTTCTTTCGTTTCTTGGAGCTCTTTAATCTCTTTGATCCTCTTGCTCTCCATCTCTTTCAGCTTTTGCTCAGCTTCGCCCTGAAGCAGTCCACCCGCTGGAACCTGCAGTTCCTTCCTTTTTGCTTTCAACTCCTCCAGTGCAGTATGGAGCTTCGGCCTCAATTGGTCCATCTCTTTTTGCAGGGCGGACTCAGCGTCCATTATCAATGTAGCCTCATTTTCCTGTTCCTCCTCTTCAGCTCTCAGCTTGTCCAGTTGTTTCTCTATGGACTCTTTGGCAACGAACGCTTCGTCCGCTACCCGCTTCAACTCTTCCTTTACCTCTATTTCCTTTGCAATCAACCTGTCTCTTTCTTCCTCCTTGATCTTCTTCTGCTTTTGCTTGTACGTATACAAGTCACTATAAATAGTGAATTTCTTTCTCTTTTCATCCACTTTCTCCTGCAGAACCCTCATCTGCCCAAGCAGGTCCTGCACTTTCTTCTCCTCTTCCAGAACTGACTTCTTTGCCATCTTGTCCATGATCTCTTTGTACTCATCATCACTCGACTCAGAGTCCTTCTTTCTCTTCTCGCCTCTCTTTTTCTCTTCCTCTTTTTCGGAGCTTTGCTCTTCCTCTTCTTTCTCCGAACTCACTTTCTCCTCGCTTTCAGAGGCTTCTTGCTCCTCTTCTTCTTTCTCTTTCTTTTTCTCTTCTTCTTCTTTTGTTTCCTTCGCCTTCTCTGCGGCTTCGTTTGCCCTTTCCTTCTGGCCCCTTCGCCTCTCGGAAGCATCCAAGGCTTTCTGCCTCAGTTCGCTCACTCTATCTTCCATAACCTGTGCCTGGCTTCCTTCGGCACTTCCTTTGCTTCCTTGTGCCTCTCCAGCCAATTCCTCGGCTGTTTTCTTGAACTCTTCAGGCACTTTAACCTCCGTCTTTGCAGCTTCTGACGGGGCCGCCTCTTTAGGCTCATACTTTTGGTTGAGGCGTTGCACTTCGGGCCATAGGGCATCCAGGGTTAATCTCCTCTCTCGCTCCTTTTTGAGCTCTCTTTCGCAGAGGGTTACGGACTCTATGCTTCGGCATTCGTCACTGATCATTGTCTTGAGGGCCGCGTCGTCGGCCATCTTTTTCACTTCTTCTTTTTCTTCTACTTCTTTTCTCCTCACTTCTTTTCTTTTCACTTCCTCTCTTTTCACTTTCTTCCTTGAGTCAAAAACGGCAGCGGCGGAACAAAGCATGCATTCAACACTTCCAACCAGACTCTTCCACAAGCTACCGTTGCAAGCCATGATAACAACCAGTGTCATCATCATCACCATCATCACCAAACCAAAGTTTCCACCTTCACTGCTTCTACTGCTTTGCTCTCTTAGTCCATCACACTGCTGAACCATCATCATCATCACAAGTCTTCTCAGATACTTCGTAGGGATCTTGAAGTCACTTGCTATCCTGACCTCTTCACTCTCTTCTCCAGTTTTCACACCGATTCTCTCCAAACACTTCACAACAGCGTTCCTCGACAAAGCCTTTGTTCCTACATCTGCAGGGTTCTCCTTCCCAGCTATCGCTTTCACTTGAAGACCTACAGAAGTAAGCCTTTGAACCCAAAGCAGTCCTGCATCAATGTGCCTCGTTCTTCCTAGGCCTTTCTTCATGAAAATAGACCTAGCACTGCTAGAATCCATCCTAATCACCATCTCCGGCCTAATCCCTAGAACTCTGTGCAGCAGGTTCTGTAGAAAAACTCCTTCACTCAAACCTCCAACAGCTGCCACCAGTTCGCTTTCGCAGCTGCTCAAAGCCGTCGCTTTTTGCTTTCTCGCGTGAAAGTAAACGATGTTACTGTTCACGAAAATCAACACGCAGCTCGTTGACTGCCTATTCTCACGATCGGTCGCCCAGTCGGCGTCGGTCACTACCTCGATCAAACTCTTCGCCGTAAAAACATCTTTGTAGGCATTCTCAGTTTTCTCATCACTTGGATCTAGAAAACTCCTTCCAGGATATGCCTCTTTGTGTTCTATCACGTAGTGGGCTGTCGCTTTCACATACTTTGCCACGTGCCTAAGCACTGCTAAGTCTCCTCGCGTTGGCGCTGCCAACTTCCCAGACAACCACTTCGTAGCGAATCCCAAATCAGGTCTCTCCGGTGTCATATACAATAGGATTCCTACACAGGATCTATACAGATGATGTTCATCTGCATCCAAGGGCGTATCGTCCTTCAACGATCTTCCGTAATCCATTGGAAACGGCAACTTCTTCGGCAGGGCTTTTCCCAAACCTAAAATCTCTTCCAACTTCTCAAGATACTTGCCGTCCATCCTGATCTCAATTCCTTCTTTCGTTCCTAAGAACGTCCTCTTCAAGAAAGTACACTTTCCTTCTCCAACCTTCACTGGTCCTTCCAGCTTTATCTTCAACTTGTGCTTCAGCAGCAGATCAACCACTGCTTGATTCTCCTTTGGTTTTCCAAACACCTCCAAATCATCCACATGTGTACTCATCAGCGTTCCACCTTCTCCTGGGGTCTCTGAAAACTTGTAGAAGAAACTTGGTAACCCCACATCGGAAACCATCTTCTCTTTCTCCAGGATCTCTCGTAAGTGCTCAAACCAATCACTGCTTCCTGTTCGTTGTCCCGGCAGGGTGTACTGCAGCTGGTACCACTTTCCTCCTAAACTCACAACCGTGTACTCCTTCTGTGGCACCTGAAGGTACGCGTCCGAAATGTCTATCGAGATCATCTCGTAGTCTCTTGAACTCGCACACAAAGCTGATAACAGCTTGATGCTCGAACCAATACTCGTTGGTGAGTATAGCGCTGAGAGATCGTAGTCCGTCAGCCACTTGTACTCCCGCGCCACTAGGCGGGCTCGCCTCTTCCATTGGAGGTCCCTATGCCTCCAATCCAACACGTACTTTGTACTGAGTCTCTTTGGTTCTTCTCCATTCGGTCCTTTCTTCAACTCTCCATTCTCATCCAGTTCCACCTCTTTGAGAACTTTCATCTCCAATAGTCTCTCGATTTCTGTTCTCTCTGCTTTCAGGTCCACCTTTTCCAAATCTTCATCTTCCAACTTTGGTGGCCCATCATCATACTCGTGAGACCAAGTAACCGTCAGGTCCTCTTCTGTCTCACACACCTTCTCGTTCCACTTGCTCTGGAACTCTCGACTTTCTTCCAGAAACAACTGTGTCTCGTCGAGATCAACATACTCATCTCCATGCTCTTCGGGATCTTCGCTCTTGGCGAATCTCCGAATATGGTATTCCACTCGTGCCGCGCTTCCTCGTGCTTCGTCTCCAAGTCTCGGCACCTTTTCAACTCTTTCTTCTACCTCTCCAGTTCCTTCGTCTACTCTTGGTTCTTTCTTTGGTGACCCTTCTCCTTCTTCTTCTGCATTCCTCTTTGCAACTTCTCTTTGAAACTCTTCCAACGTCATTTCATCGGGCACCAATTCATCTTCTGCTTTTCTCTTTGTCCTCACCTCTCCTGGATCATCGTCATCGTCATCGCTCTCGTCGTCCATTGCTTCTGGCGTTGCTCCAGATAGCGACGAACTCTTGCTAGAAGAACTTGAGCTTCCTTGGCGGTCGCTTGGCGGCGAAGGCTCGCTTCTCCTTTCTTCTTCTACTCTTTTGTCAGCTTCCACCGCCAATCTTGGCAGTCCTGGCCCATCATCAATAGGCACAATTCTCTTCTTCTTAAACCTCAAAGCCTTCAGCTGATGATCCCATGGAGCTCCAACCGAAAGTTGCAAAAGCTCCGGCTGATATGCCTCAGCACATCTTCTCATTGTCCTCGCTTTGATCACTCCTCTACCTGTGCC